CATATACCTGCAGATGTATGGCTGAAACAATATTCTGCAGTTTTTACAAACTGGAGAATTTCTGAACCAAGATGCTAGAATGATGCATGTCAATTTGGATTGAGCCTCCAATGTAAATTTTAACAACAAAACTCAATTCTTCTTACAGGTTTCATGGGTTGGAGTCCCCACTGCTCCGGCATGGCTTCCAACAGACATGCTTATCAAGGTATTCTTAAACTTGGCTAGACTGAAATTAGTTAGCGGTGGTTCTTGACCTGGTTAATTGGTCTTGGATTGGCATCTACCTCAATCCAAGCTCAAAAGGTCAATCTAACTGCATCATTGTGATTAATTTGGTTGAGCTGACTTTTATTTAGAAGCCTTTCTGAGCTACCTCGTCAGCATAGTCTGATATTAGTTTCACGTCAGAATCTGGCATCCACATCACCAACCGTCCCATGAAAAATCTTAAGCCCTGCTTAGATTATTTTCATTGTTTAGCTCCGTGACCCCATTCCCCTTTCAAAGGAGTTCCATTCTTAAGTTTTGTGCTGCTGCTAAAAGTATACAGTGCTCATCCTGCAAATGTTGAGACATAATCTCAGTTCAATCCTTTTGACTACGAACCCTTTTAACAGCAGAAGCTGTTTACCACGAACGCCTTCCCCAGTTTGATTTCCCTATCCATCTTCTAGAAGATTGTGACATGAATTCTGAAGCTGCATATCCAGGAGTTATTTAGATTATCATAATTAACTAATCAACTCTCTTTTTTGCTTGCAGTCCGAGAAGCTGAATTACGAGAGATTGTGAGACCTAGGAAACTGAAGCAGAATCCCATCTTCTTTTATGATGAATGGAAATGGATTCCTGTAGATCACAATACCTTGTTCATAACCATCAAAAACTTATATTGTATGTTTCCAAATCAAGGCCATTAGTTTAACTAGCTTACATCATTCATTTGATAATAAATATTGCAATGGTTTATTTATTCTAAGCAAGCTGTGAACACATTATCTTAGTTCTTTGACATTATCTTAGTTCAAAGTAATATAGAAACAAAGACTGCATATCCTTCGATAAGCTCTTTTTTTCTTAACAACAAATACAAAAGAGTGTAATGAAAAACAAAAAAGCTGGGGAGAGTGCCTGTGGATAAGAGACGAGTATTAGGTCCCATGCACATCTGATGCGTATTGCAAACATGTTTATAGACAAGATAGGTAAGAACAAGTCTGAAAAAAAATTTCCTGAAGAAACTCGAACATGTTATATGATCAGATTATTAGATCGGGCTCAAATTTAGTTAGAAGATTCAACCGCGTTCCTATAAAACACACTTCGTTGGTCATCAGACCATTAGATCTCTCAACATTAGGTATAAGAAATTATTGTTTTTTTCTATTTTAGTTATCTTTCTTAGTTAATTTTGGATTTTAATTGTTATTTTCTACTTTACTTTGTATTCTTTAATTCGGTAGATTTTTAAAATTTCTAAATAAATAGTTGAAGTAATTTTTTTATTATTATGTAGATTTTTTATAAAATATCAGAGATTTTTTTATTCCTCCATGGTGTTAGAACTGTAACTTCAAGAATTAAGAACCCTAACTTTTATCATCAATGCATGCGGCAGCTCACGTCAACAATCTAATTAAAGCCTCTCTCTTCCCTCCGTGGAATTTTTAGAATTTCTACACCTATATATTTGACAAAAGAGAGAACAAATACCACTAAAATTAAAGTTTTATTTAAAACTAAATTGCAACATCCTTTTCTTCATTATTAACAGTACTCTGATCAGGTCGGAATATAACTTTCACTATTCTAACAGACACGAAGGCACCACAATATGTATCCATGCCATTAGCTTTTGATGCAATTTTGTCCAGTATCTTTGATTGTTCGATTTCAGGGATGTCCATCTCTTGCAAGATGTCTTTGAAATCTTGCATGTGATCAAACAGTGAATCGCTAACCGGAATCCGAGCAAGTTTTCTGGTTATTATGGGCTCTCTTGCTCTTCTGAATACCCTCTGACCTTCAGTAATGTGAGTGAAGTACTGGAGCTCACCGAGCAAGAAGAGTAGAGGGAACTTCGTAAGTTCCTGCTGAAAGGGTTTTAACTCAACATGATACTCGTAATGTTCTCTAGGACCTGACATGATTGAGTTCAGAAGGGAAAAAAAAAAAACCGGATGGCAGGGTTTGTGAAAAAGAAAAACTACCGAGAAACAGAGGATGAAATTGTTACTGTAGAAGACTTACCATGCATACGTTTATATACTAAACAGTCGGTTTCTGTTGTCCTGTGTAAAAAAGGACTACAGATTTCCTAAATCAAAAAGGATTAATAAGGATGTCGGCAATCAGAAATAGTTCGGTGCTTTTGTGAACAGGAAAGTAAGCTAAGACACAGCAATGAGAAACGAAAAGGTGAGCTGAATTGTATAAACTAGAACTGATTATCAACCAATTGAAGAGAAAAATAAAATAAAAGTTCTGAGCTTCATGTTGAGCTCATTATATTTTATCCGCAGTGATGAGAAATATTCATTCAGATCATCATAAATGCACCCCTCTTAGGATGAAGATTTTCCATTTATTCTTTTGACTAGCTTCCTCTGAAAATTGAAGGGCAAGTTTCTGATAAAAAAGAAGAAAGACTATAAGTTTGATTGAGTATAGTTTCAGCAGATGCAATGATCTCTCCTTGGTGCTTAGATGCGCCTGTCAAGATTATCCAATGGTTAGGTGATATCTAATTCTTTGTTTTTCCCTCTTTCAGGTTGTTGATTTGTCTAAAGGAGCTGCGCGATTTGTATTTTAGGGTAAGCTTTTTGTTTTTGTTTTAGCATAGAAAGGTGTTTCGAGCTATACAGCGAGTCAAGTCATATTTCTCCTAATGTAAAAATAATAATAATAATAATAATATATTCCAATCTGGCCTCCATGGTTCACCTTCCTGTATTTTTTGCAAGCTTGGTGCTTTTTATCAATGTATTCTGATTTATGAAAAGTAAAAAAAAAAAAACAGAGAAAAGAAAAGAAAGAGATGGTAATGGAAGTTTGATGATGACCTGCATCTTTGGAATACGGCACAAAGACCTTTTGAACTACAAGGGAAAGTGGTGTTAAAGCTTTCTCAGGTTTGCCTCGATCGCCATCTCCGTCGTAAGAAAGGCTGACATTCTAGCCAACAGGATATGGAGTTCGTACGTATGCACATGAACCTATGAGAAGAAGTCCGGCTGCCGGCACACCTTCAACTGTGTTTCTGTCATAACACTTTGCTTCATGTCTTAATATTCTTAGAAAGCTTGTTCATAACTGCATCAACAGCTACATTAGAGAAAATGGCTCAAATAAATCTCAAGCTTTTTTGAGGTAGCGTATAGCGATAAGAAACTAGACTTTCTCAATTGCTAATATCTTACGGTTCTAATATATATATATATATATATATATATATAAGAAAGTCTGACTTGAAAGGTTTAAATGTCAATAATTTGAAAAATCAGGGTTTTTAAATCACTAATATTATGAACCGAAAAGTATGAAGATCGATAACACACGAATAAACATAATTTTGAACTGGCTAATAGAGCACTTTTAGAAGCAAAACAATTGGTCTAGAGAATCGAATCTCGCCACTAAATCCATTAGTGACAAAGATCTCCGTCGCCACTGAAACCGCGCCACCAATGCTTTTGTGGCAAAATGTACCTTTTGCCACAGAGTTATTAATTTTCAGGGGAGAACTTCATTCCCCAGAAAAAATCCACCATAAAAGGAAGTTCATTTGCAACTTCTATATAAATAATTCCATTTCAGATAACTTCTAACTTCATCACGAAAGGTGTTTAAAAACAAATTGCCATGCACAGAAGGCTTGAGCTTTTGTTTTTGGAACTTCTATGCATTTAGGTGGCCGCCGCCGCCGTCATCTCACACGTGACAAGAACAGCATGATCAAAAACATTTCATTAGAATATGAAATATATAAGAGCATAGCACAAATAATTGAATTTGTTAAGTTCACAAATTTCGGCCATTAAACCTTGACACCAGCTTGAAAATCTAATATAGCTACAAAGCTACGAGACAGAAAAATATTTCTCTTGAAGGTCCAAGAAGCCTCTTCTTCCTTTCCAAAAAAATCCCTTGGCTTCAAGTAACACCCTTTTGCAGCCTGCATTTGATTTACAGCACTCAATCATTTAAATTATTCAGCATCATATAAGAAAGCTTAAACAAATGCATCACATCACCTAAAAAGAAAAGAAAAATATGCATCAGTGTATTAAAAAAAGGACAGTAAAAATCAAAGATTGAAATTCAAAGAAGTGAGAGACAAAAACAGAGCACATGGAATATCAGTAAATAGTTCAATCGAAACCCAACTAATAATCCTGGATTTGTTGAACTGAAAGCTCTCATGCTCGTTGCCTAAGTCATCTAGTCTCCCGTTGGTTTCGTTTCATGAATGGATTATAAGGATATCGAGATATTTTATACCTCTCCCTCATTACTTGCAAGTTGAGTAATACACAGAGCTGAATGAGGCTTTATAATTACACTGGAAAATCAAGTATCTCTTTTATCGTTGGTGTTCCCCTGTGATTCAATCTATATTGGGGATTTCCACAAATCTTCAACACCGAATCCTTTACTCTGCGCTTTGGTCATGATGAGCATGGTGATGGTGATGGACTAATTTGCCTCAAATTCCATGATTTTTGTGGCCTGTGCCGAATTTCCCACAATAAAGTCGTCCCGCTTTCATATATATTAGTGGGGAAGCTGTTTTCTCCATTATTTTTTTACACCACACTCAATCCTGGTTCTCAACGTATTTTTAACAGCAGAATAACATAAATATAATTAGCAAACCTTTGGTTCGTATCTTTTATTTATTTTTAACACTAAAAGATTCAGAGAGGGGATACACAATGATGCAAGGCCCAGTCAGTATCCCAGGCAATGCATCATAGTGGCAAGAATTCAGGAGCACATTGATAATGTGAATACATTTTTTACCTTTAAGGCATCATAAATAATTGAACTAATAGATTTGGTACCACCAGCAACAACTTTACAGATATTGTGTATTCTGGTTTCATCTCCACTGTTCTTGCATATACGATGCATTGCTGGTCTGAAGGCAAAGGACCTAAAAAAACAATGTTGAAAGAAGAGCGAATTGTATTGGTGTTTTCTGAACAATAATGAACATTAAGACTCAAATCTCCTCTTGGTTCCTTTCTTGGAGTTCATAAGTTCTGACAGGGAGGGAAGAGGCCGAGGCACAGGCACATTCATTGACCGGTATAACTTTCTCAAGGTCTCACTAAAATTCAGTGAGGATCCAATGGGGGAACGAACAGAAACCTTTAAAACTTCGTTCTTGACTGACTTCCCGCTTAGTTTTGTGGTGTCCAATTTATTCTCACATTTCAATTCAGTATCCAGCTTACTCTCCAATATATTCTCACATTTCACTTCGAATTCATTTTCAAATGGGACATCTTGATCCATTTTATGAGCAACTACTTGTGAAGAATCTTTGATAGATTCAATTTTCTCCTCAGCGGGGAAACCAGAATCTGGGATGCCAAGTCTCGCTCTACCAAACAAAGTCACTTCTGGCCTTTTGCTCGGAGGAGACAAACTGGAAGTTACTTTAACTGGTGATGACTGAGATTGTGCAGAAATTTGAATGGGCTGTTCAACCACAGAAGGATAATCCAGGACTCTGGCTGTTACTTCTGTTTCTGATGATGCTTCAACATTAATGTCCAAAAGCTTCCACAAACGGTCATCTAAAGTTAGTTTAGTGCCAGAGCAATGCTTCTTAACATAATCGAGCTCCATAGCCAAGCAACTGGGGGTTGTTGACACAACCCATTTAGGAACAAGAAGTTGCAAAGCCCACTCCAATTCTCCCCTGGAGGAATGCATAGAATAACAGACATGCCAAACACCATTTGGGTCCCTAACTGCTTCGTTGAATCTCAGTTTTCTTTGACTTTCTGTTTCAGAATATCCTTCCTCACATGCATACCATTGTGCTGAAGGACGGATAATGAGGGGCTCAGGTTGAAGATTAGCCTGGGCCTCAGCAATCTTTTTAGCTGCTCGTTCATATAACTTGGGAAATCCATCAAACATATGGAAACGGGAAGATGGATCTTGAGTGAGAATTTCAGGAACTGTAAGTGTCAAAGCTCGGAAACTTTCTGTGTTGGCAACCTCATCAACAAATATCTTGGAACCAAATGTTTCAGACACAGCAGCCAAAATATCCTCTTGACCAAGAAGATCACAGGTCAGATACACAACAGTTGCAGCAGGGTGCTTCCATATGCAATTAAGAACCTGGCTCATGAACATGCAAGATCAATCATTATACAACTTGCTAACATATTCCAGCATAATAGAAGCGCTTAACATATCACAAAAATTAAAGCAACAAGTAACCAGTGAAAAGAGGGAGAGAGAGAAAGAGCATCAAAGTGGTTGCATTGTGAAGAGGAAGACATTTATCCAAGTTATAAGAAAAGGGCAAGAAAATCAAACATAGAGTAATTAATTTGAAAATGAAAACATAAGCAAAGCTATATTCTTTGGACAAAAATGCTACAATGCAAACACAGAACAGGGGACAAACCCAGACAAGAAGAAGACATGTCATCACTAAGGGAACACAGGAAAGTCGTTAAGGTGTATTCAGTCGGACACAACAATAGCCATCAAGATTCAAAAGAAACTTGAGATTAAAGGGGGTAAATCAGAGTACCTGTTGGATTGCTGAATGCTTACTAGGAAGTTTCTGAGTGAATTTTCCAAATGTGCAATCTAAGAAAACATAATCAAGTTGGCACCTAGGTTCTTTTCCTTTCTTGCTGATATACTTCTCTGGTATGCATCTTACATCCTCTGGGGTAAGCCTGCAATCTCCTGTATGCAGGATGTTACCAAAATTGCCTTCAAACAAGAACATTACAGCTCCTGAAGTTCACATATCCATGCCAGATAAATATCATCTGTCAATAGAGCTCTCTAAGAATCATTTTAGGTCATGCACACATATAAAATATACATCAAGCAATACCAATTCTCCTAGGACACACAAAACAATAATAAAGGAGCTAAAAAAAAGGAAGTGGAGTTGAAAGAAAAAGCCAATAAAGATCTGAAATTTCATAATCAGACATGCATAATACAATTCTAGAAACAGCCAGTAGGTAAACAGAAATGCATAATACAACTTCTGAAAACTCCAAGGCTAGGGAGATTTTGTCAGTGAGTTCCCTCACCTATGTGCTTCTACGCTTATCCTTGCTAGTTGCTTATTGGAACTTGCTTCAAGTAGGAAGTATTTCAAAACTAAGGAATCTCAACACATACTATTTGTTTCAAATATAATACATCGTTTTCCAAAAAGCTACACAGATTTTTGTGTTCAATTCTGCCCGCAAAAGACCACAGCTAGCATAAATTAAAACTAAACCTAAACCAAACCCATTCTTAAATCAAATGATTAAAAAAAAAATACTAGCAGCAATCCTGGAACAGTACGATCAAATAATGAACCATCACAAATACCAATCAAATAATATATCCTAACAGAAACAAACATTCATCAAACCCACATAGCCAAAACCAATGAGCAGCTACAATCAATGATAAAACAAACCAAATCATCATCATCATAATATATAAAAAAAAAAATACCAGGACAGTGATTGGCATCAAAAGCCGTGACCTTGAATTCTCCATCTGGGTCCTTAATAACCACTGACTCTCCCACTTCAATGCCGACAAATAATGAACCCTCAAGCTACGAATACACATAAAAAAAAATCAAAATCAAAACCAGAAACTCAAAATTGGACCAAAAAACTCAAATGGTTAGTTCTAAGAACCTACAAAAAACACAAACCTGAGGGTAATTTTGAAGAACAAGTAATTTCGTGAGATGGGTTGTGTAAATTGGGTAGCAAGAGTGTGTTAAAATCCCAGAGGTGTGGTCTTTATGGGCATGTGTTAAGAAATGGTGTCTCTTTCTCTTAGAATTTGGACTCCATGTGTCTACAGAGAACGGTAGTCCCCTTGGCAGTTCTATTGGCATGTTTTTGGTTGTTTGGGTGGAGAGAAAGTGAAGGAAAATGGAGGGAAATTTAAAGGGGATAGTTTGGACTTTTTCCCTCTAAAAGCTTCCTCTGAAATGAAGAGCAAACGGGGAGGTCGGAGTCAAGTCTGTCCAACCGCCTTAATTTGCAATTATTTATTTTAATTTTAAGTAACTAATATACCTGAACCGATCTTTTCATGTTGAAATGGCATAATTATAAAGTTTTCTAATTTTTTACTGTTGCGGAAACTATAGCATAACAAATTTGTAAATTTTTCTGTGTTTTGTGTTTAGAAAATAATTATTTAGATTTTTTTTATATTTGATAAATTTATCATTTTACACTTAATTTATTTATCATTATTTTTTATATAATTTAATTAGGTTTTTTTATTTCTATATTTAAAAAAAAATAATTTTTACACTTAACATTTATCACTCTACACGTATTTATATAATTATTTTTGTTTTTATATTCATTCTTTTATAATTTATTTTTGTAATTTTTTCTTTTTTTTCTATAATTTTTTTAAAAAGAATTATTGTACAAAAACTAAAAGGAAATAATTTCACTTAGCAGTTGCAATATTATTTTATTTTTTTACTACAATAAAAATTTACTTAAAATATTATATATTTCTATTAATATATAGGATCTTTATTTTATTTTATTATGTGAAAATATTAGTTTTTTATTTACAATTATTTTTTATTTGATATAAAAAAATTATTAATAATATTTACATATTTATTTTTTATATTAGAAAAAATATTATTCTACACAGTAGAGCTAGATGAATATACGCGTTAACATTTTTTATTTGTTATATTTATTGACATAAATGATTCTATATTTATTTAATTAAATATATGAATAATTTTTCAATTTATAAATTGTATTTAAAAAAACACATTAAAAAATAATATATATTCATATTTTTAGCCACAAAAAATTATTCAATCCGTAGCAAACCGCAAATCAAGTAGCTAGTTTTTTCTATACTAAAATTAATTTTTTTATCTGAAATATATTTATAATAATTCATTTCAAGGATATTATTAGTAATTATTTTATCAATCAAATAATTTATGCATATACAAATTAATTCCAATAAACTATTTTGGTGTTATCTCGTTTGTATAAGGAAGCATTATACTAGGAAGTTCTTGTGATTTTTCCAGAAGAATTTTTTCTCACAAATATTCCATTCAATAATAAATAACGAGATATATATTTAAATGATTTCACACTTACAATAATTTTTCAAGGAAAGAATATTTAAATGATAATCCCATGGTAATTCTTTCTTGGTGTTTAACATATATTCATTTCTAGAACTTGATAAATCTAAGCTTTATTTTTTTTTTATCAAGAAAACATTATAGATGACAACCTTGTAATTGTAATTTAGCCTTTTGTATTTAAGTAACCTAAAGTGTTATTTTTTCAACCAGAAAAAAAGTGTAATTCACTTACAATTTATGTATTTCTTATCTTTGAAAAGAATGAGAAAAATGAAATTCCCCTTAAAAAAGAAATCAAAGAAATGAATAAAATAAATAATACAAGGTCGTTTGTTTGTTGAAAAATAGTTTTTTTTAAGTGATTTTTTAAAAAAGTATATTTTTGTAAAGTAAATTATTTTTCAATACTTAATTGTGTTATGAAAAAAAAAAGTTGGAAAATATTTTTAAGTATTTAATTATATCATAAAAAATAAGCTGGATAATAACTTATTAATATTTTTTTCAAGGAACAAATCTTATAAATTAAAAAGTTAAATGAGAATTAATTGAAAAAAATTATTTTCATTGATTATCTCATATAAAATAAATAACAATCAAAATAATAAAGATCAAATCTAAGAAATAAAAAAATTAAAAGATGATGAAATTAAAATAATTATAATTATAATTTTATAAATTATTTTAAATAAAATAAGTAATAATTAAAAGAATAATGATCAAATTTGATGATAAAAAATTTAAATTAAACAATGATAAGAAAAAAATAAAAATAAAAATAAAGACCAAAGTTAATATAAAAATAAAATTTTAAAAAAATCAAAATAAAATATATAGTAATCAAATTTGATATAATCAATAAATAATATGATATTTTTAATTTTTTTACAACTTCTAAAAGGTATTTTACACTCAAAATAAAAAGAAAATACTTTTTTAGAAATTAAGTTAAATTTTTTTAATTGAAAAATATTTTTTGTTAACTAATTTTTTTAATAATAAAAAAATTAAAAAAATTATTTATAAAAATATATTTTGCCTGAAATAAATGAGCCCTAAGTCATTGTCAAGAAGAAGAACAAAGGATGCGGGCCTCGGCTAAGGCCTGGGTTCTTTTTTAAGCCCACCCACCCAAGTTTCTCGCCTAGTAAGTGTCATTTTTCTCTCTGTATAAAGCAAGCATTGCTCGGCCCAACCCGTGAACACCCCCACACGTCCCATTACCTGTATTTCTCAACTTCTATTTTTCCAAAGTTACACCATAGCCGCGGCTTCGACCGAAAAGTCTTTGGAATATAAAGAAACAACATTTAGATTGTAATTTATTATTATTATTATTATCATTAAACTTAATATTATAATTTAAATTTAAAAAATATCAACCCTACTATTTACTTATCATATATAAATTAAAAAATATATATAAAAACAAAATATAAAAACCAATGGCCTATAAAAAAATCCTGGCCAATTAAAAAAACCAAACACATGAGCCAAGAGAGGAATCAAGGTCATAAACTAACTCGTATTGATTTGGATTAAAATAAAATAATATTATTTTATTTTTTTTTTAAATTAAATAATATTTTAAATATTTTTTTAAATTCAAATCAGATCAAATACCAGGTCTATCGAATCAAAACTAATTCAATTTATTTTAAAACCAACCTCAAGTTAGTTCTGTGATCACTAGCTTTGAGTCATTAAATTTACCAGTCTAAACAGAATCAAATTAATAATACCGCATTTTCCAATTTAGATATACGAGATGGGAATGGATTTTCCTAAATTGTCTTTGATTCCAGGATCATGGCACCTCGACTTCCAGCATTAATGAGCTGGATGTGCAAGAAGAACGGACAGAGACCATGAGTTTGAGTTTTTGTTTTTTTATAGCATAGTAAAAAAAAAAAAATGGTAATATAACACTGTTTAAAGAATAATTCAAATAATAACATAATTTAAAAAGTCATGAATAAAACAAATAAAAAATAAATAAATAGCTTACCAGTAAAACAATATTTCAACCAAATAAATCCAATTATATTAAAAAAATCTTTAACAATAATCATTATGAAAAACATAAAATACTCGATCACAAGTGAGTTTTAATATCTTTAAAAAAAATGAATAATTCACTTATCATTAATTATTTTTTTGGTGTTATTAAAAATATTTGTCAAGATATTTTTAATAATACTAGTAAAATTATGATTAAAATTTCAGTGTGTTTTTATAATTTATTATTATTATTATTGTAAATTATTTTCTCCCTTTTCTTAGTTTACCGAATTTTATTTTTAACCGAGCTAGAGGCCGAAAATACGCATCGAGTCTCAGTGCCATCAATCACTGTAGTTAAATGCACGTCTTCGAATAAAAGAAGTCCGAGAAATGCCGCCATGACTATTGAAAGATACCTTGATTTATATGGGACATTGACTAATCCGAAATAAGGCTTGATTCATTAAATAAATAGTTGAGTAAACTTGAATTAATTATTTTTATTAACAAAATTAACACTTATCTAATTCAATTAAGACTATTATATTTTACTAAATCAATATTTTATTACTTCAATTTAAATTAGTATTTCAAAAATATTTTAAAAATAAATTTTTATATTTTCAAATATTTTAATGTATTAATATTAAAAACATTTTAAAAAAATAATCGGACAAGAACCGACATATCTCGACAGGTGGAATTTAATAACTATTATTTTATAATTAAAACCAAAACAAAACAAAAATGGGATTGGAAGCATTAATTAAACCCCTATCGCTCTCCCTGCGTATTAAACCAGCAAATAGCCATGTCAATCGAGCACTGTGTGAGCGACATCTTTCACATCCATGTAAGGTCGGCAAAGCAGACAAATGGATTTTTGGATCTGGTATCATAATAGGAGGAGATGGAGACTCGTCTGGATTTTTGGATAGTATCAGCCGAAGACCTTCAAGAGGCCCGTCCGATGCCTCCACCTCTAGCTCTCCCTTTAACCACTGAAAACCCTACTTTTGTCTGGGCAATGGTGGAGACGGCGGGTGGGTTTAGCTCTGAATCTGAAAAACGACTATGCTGGATGCAAATGAGCTCTCCCTCAAAAAGATTTGATCTCGGAATATTAATGGTGGTGCACCCAGTCGACGTTTAATATGGGTCTGTTTGAAAATGTAGATATAGTTGTTTTTATGTTTTTTATTTAAAATATATTAAAATAATATTTTATATTTTTAAAAAATTATTTTAAATATTAGTACATTAAAATAATTTAGAAATACTAAAAAAATATTAATTTAAAGTAACAAAATTTAAAAAATTTAATTTTTTTTAAAAATATTTTTAAAATACAAAAATAAACAAAGTTGTTATACATCATTTACTCAATACCACTAACTTTATAAGCTATAAAAATAATTATTAAATTACTAGCACTATATAAAAACATTTTTTTTTAGAGAAATTGTTAATATAAATAAGAAAAACTCTATTATATGGGTATATAATTTAGATAAATTGAAGATATAATTAAGAATGAAATATATAATTTAGATAAATCAGGGATTTAATTGAGAAGTGAATGGCAAGATATGAGATAAGGATTAAGCTAAAAATTGATATGGATATTTTAAAAGTAATTTAAATATTTTTTTATAATAAATAGAAAAAATTAATTAGAAATGCAAGATCCAAAAGGCTTGTATCTCACTTTTTCCGTTAAATTTTAAAGACTTAAAATATTTTTAATATTTTTAATTTTTTTTATTATTTAAAAAAAATTGACCGTTATAAAGCACAGAATAATATCCTATTATATATAAAAGCACCACAAATGCATACTACCAAGAGCCTATCCAAACTCA